GAAATATGTGGGTATGATGTTTATGGAGATCTTTCATATCATGAGTATGTTGATCAAGCACACATCAGTTCTCAAAAATCTTCAAAGAGGTCGTGTTCATAGTTATCCCAAACCTCAAAGAAGAAATCATCTAATAAGTACATTGTACAATTTCCATATCATATCAGACATTTATTGATGACATTCTTGATGTTAAGAGTGATTGAAGTTGTGTGTTTAGAGTCATTGCATCATTGCATGGATATGGCGAGGATGGTTGTTCAGTGTTTTGTCGTGATTTGAATAATGACATTAACGTTTCTAGAAGCAATCTCTATGAGACGTTATTTGGAAGTCGCTTATCAAAAGTAAGAGAATCCTTGGTGATATTATCTTTAGGTCCTCAACCACTAGAGAAAGGGTTGACATTACCAGAAATGAGTTATGTGATAACAAATTGGTATAACCCCATTATTGTCTCATTGGATTATCCTAGTTTGAATTTCTTTCTTATGACGACTTCACATTCACCTAATGTGTCAATTTACTGCATTGGTTTTGTAAGCTGTGATCATTGGGTTCAGGTAAATATTCATGTTTGTTATGTTAATTACTTATCTTCCATTTAAATCTTACTTATTAATTTTCTAAATAGGTAAACATGAATGAAGAATTTATGTTGCCACCGATCACATTAGATTGGAATAAGTATCGCACACCAAATGCAACTTCTTGGATGATAGTATTTGTTGGACGATTCCAACATTGGCAACACCTTACGCCTATAGTGTCAAAATATGTTAAATTATGATAATAATGTGATTTTTATACTTCCATTTGTATTGATAACTGAATTCATGTTATATTGAATTCATGATATCTTATGGATTATATAGCATAAGTCTTAAAATAGAAAAGAAGTATCAAAAAATATAATTCTGAAAAAATACTACATAAGTCTGAAAAATAGTACACGGGTTTGAATAATACTACATATGTCTGAATAGTAAATAATACAACAATCATCACCATCCTCACCAGCATTAGGCACTGATCCTCCCTGAGGTACCGGTCCACCCTAAGCTACACACATTGGACCTCAGCAAAATCATCTTCATCTTCTCCCGCCTCGTGACAATGTAAATAATGACGAAGCTTGTGTAAAATATATAATAACCTCGGATCTGACAGTCCTTCATCATAGACAGAAAACAGGACATGCCTGACCTCCCCCCGAGGTGGTGCTACCAAAAGAGGATGTCACGCCCTGTAGTACCAATCCAAGTAATCGACCACCACATCATATAGGGTGGTAGCAAAAAAGGTCGACCGGATCACGTCTAACGTGCTCGCATGATATGCAATCCACTCAAAATCCATATCAAGTATGTTAACATCAGGAGACGGAAATGGTATGTATTACCTGTATCCAAACTGACGCAAACATTTGTCAGATAAGTATAGAATAATTGTATAATACCATTTCAGACCACCCTTGTACAAGCATATATCATCAAATGGGCGGTGTTGTATACGATTCTTAAAATGGCGCCAAATAACATCAGCAAGTGTCAATCCAACCAACACAGGCCTAAGCTCATCAACCTTCTATATGCCTTGCTTGTACATCCATTTCATCGCTCTAGAAAGTGAACTACTGATACCAATAATCTTAGAAAATCCTCTCTTATCAACAGTAAGAAAATACTCATGAATCCAACATTGTTATATAACATGAATATTATAAATTAAAAGTATTACAAATAAGTTAATATAAGTATAAACAAAATTAAAATAAAACATTTGTACATGCAGTAGAAAGGCATATCTCTTAAGCTACTTGCAACTGTAAAAGGAATCATCTCCTAGATATCTTTAAAGTTTGACAAGTGCAACTACCCCCAACAGTATCTACCACATCCAGGGAAGTCTCTGAATAATGATAAATACTTTGTCTCTACAAGAGTAAAGGTTTTGTCGGCAAAAATGGTGCATCATACAGATGAGTGCTAAATTATTATGAATTTAAGTGTGAATAGTTAGCACTCATCAACCTAATTCGTTTGCTTTTCGTCAATAACCTCAACTTTAGTGTATAGTTGGTATATTTTATGTTATAGTGTATATATTGCATTATCATGTAAATATCATTGAGTTTAATTGTTTTTATCTCATTTTTGTATGTATTCAAGCAATGATATTTATTTATTGTCTTATAGAGCATTGAATAAGCTTTCTAATGCTTCTGATCGTGCATAAATCAAAGTTACGATTCTCAAGTTATGATCGAAACAAAAGTTGATTTTTCTATCATGGTCGCTAGGCGAACTGAAAGCAAACTCGCTAGACGATATTAAGCGAGTTGAAGGCGACCCAAATGCGTGGAAAAAGCACTGTAGAGACAAAAACAAGTCTTTTATGGTCGCTAGGCGACGACACGATTTCATTTTTGCCTATAAAGTCATTTTTACAGCTCTTTTTATGTTATGGTTTTGGTATTTTTTGTTCCTAACTCCATAATCACCATTTTTTGAGTATAGAGGCTTAGAAAACAACATTAGAGGTGGCATCTTGGAGATCCTGAGTTGGTTTTGCATCAATCATTGGGAAATCACGGTGGATTCTTCTCCTTTCCTTCTTCTCTTTGTACCCTTTATATTGGGATTTGTTTGTAAGTTTACTTTAATTTTATGTATATGTATTGATCATGGCTTTGTGAAAGATCTATTTTACAAATCTATATCGATGTAATCCTTGTTTACTTGCTTTATGTTTAGATTTGAGTTGCTATAGACATATATTATTCTGATCCAAATCCAGGATTAATATCTGTTAGGTTCTAAACTTTAGACATATATTTAAATATAATATTCACAGTTGGTATCAAATCTTAATGCTCCATGTTGTTTATTAGCATGAGAGATTGTCGACTAAATAATATGGTTGAACTCTCGATGGAAGTTTATACATGAACCCTTTTATGAGCGATACATGATGATATTAATGAGTGATTTAGGTTATGTACAACTGATTGGTAGATGCAAGTATTTGATGTTGTTGTAAATGTACCTTAAAATCTTTGTTGATAAAGAGAAAGAAAAAAATATTTTGGAGATTGCATTTACAACGAAAATTAGAAGTTTTAGAAAATAGTGTTGTCGGTACGGATGAATAGTGATGTCTGTACGGATGAATAGTGACGTTTGTACGACGAATATCGTTTTTCAGTTTTCGGCCTTTTTCGATTCGGTCCATGGATCCATGTGATTTTATACTCTGTTTGTTGGGTATTTGCTATTATAAATATGTATCTCTTATATGCTTGGTGTGAGACAATCTTAGAGTTTTCACCAACAAGGGAGACAAAGGGTTTAAAGGTATAGCATAGGGTTTCAGCTATGCACAAAGAAAACCTTGGATTACACCTTGGGTTTTAGTGATTCATAATTGAGAGTTGAAGAGGTATGGAAACACTTGGGAACCTGAAGGCGAAGATTATTTTCTTGTAAGTCATTTGTAATCTCTTGTAACAACTTTCTGAGTATAGTGAATTTGAGAGATGCCCTCTCCTCCAGAGTAGATCGTTTGAGTAAATAAACCTTCGGTTTTTTCTTGTCTCATTATGTTATATTATCTGCGTACGGATTATTATTGTTGAAGACCATTTATTTTGACTGTTATTGTTCTTTGTCTCATAAATTAATATTGATTTTTGTTGTAATTCACAACAAGATTCACAACAAGTGGCGCCGTGAACGTGGAACAAAGAGATATTGTTGACAAGTGAACATCATGGTTAGTAGATGGCAGATTTTTCGGTAACAACGACTTCGGGTTATGGAAAATTAAGCTGCAAGCAATTTTAATTCAAGAGAAGTGTATCGATACTTTGAAGAGTGAAGCAATGATGCCTGTAGGGCTTACACGAGTACAAAAGACCGAGATGGTGGATAAGGCAAGGAGTGCCATTATCTTGTGCCTTCGAAAATAAAGTTTAAAGAGAAGTCGTCAGGGAGCAAATTGCGGTTACTATGTGGGCAAAAATTAAATTATTGTATATGACAAAGTCTTTGCCTCACAGGTTATATCTGAAACAACAACTCTATTCATTCCAAATTGTGGAGAAAAAATCCATAGTTGAGCATCTCACAGAATTTCACAAGATTATCGATGATCTTGAGAATATTGAAGTGAAAATTGAAGATGAGAACAAAATAAGGGCTTGCTCTATTATGAAGGAGAAAGATGATGACTAATCCTAAAATCCCATTGTAGTGTCAACAATGATGACCATTCTAACCACCTTTTTTTTAACCCTTAATATTAAATCCTTAGAAATTCGGTTGTCATTTTGAAATAGACATGCCCATTACACTTCACAAGCTAACCCTGACAGTCAGGATGAACTTCGGCCAAATTAAAAGTTACTATTTACATATCTGATTTCTTGTAGACTTGTGTGTATATTATATTTATTTTCCTTAAAAAAAACTTATTTTGAGAAGTAAAATTGAAATGTATCTGTATGAAAGTTAAATTTTAAAGATACAAGAGTATGTCTAGATTAAGAGAAATTTACTCGAAGGGGATATATTAGAAAAAATGGGGTACAAATGTAATCATACACTTTTTGTAATATTTGATTCCACGGGTTGTTCATGTATTAAGGAGTTATATGAATAATGTTAGTATTTATCTCTTTTTCTAGCTCTAGTTAATCATTTTTTTTTAAATTGAGAATCCTCTACACTTTATTGCATGGAGAGACTAATATTTTAAATTAGAGAAAATTGAGAATTCTCTGCTGATATCTTCCTACATAATCATTCCAGCTGAATTAGGTGAGCGTATATCTTTCCAACAATCACTTCCACTCGAAAGCAACCCCGTTCGAATGAAAGAGAGAGAAGGCAAATGAAGTTGATCAACGCAACTGTCTAAGGCTGTGTTTCCTTCCACAGTGACGCCCCGAAAGTAGCAGTGCATTCAATGCTAAATAAAGCTGCTACTGCAGTGTACTACTACCAATAGTCTTTGCACGAGCAACTTCCGTTCTCAAAACAATGAAACCTATTTGAATCTCTCACTATTATTTTTCTTTGAACAATCTTTGAGATATATTTCATTGCAGTGTGACAGTCTACACAAGTTCTTAAATTTTTAAAAACCTTGATTGCAGTTCCTGGTGGAGTTGACATTATTCCAAAGGCAACAGCAAGCCTCTCACTGTGGTAAGAAATGTTTTGCTCTTTTTGCTCTTCCTCCACATCATGTAGCACAAAGTTTGTGTCTGGAACATAGCCTTCTTCCTTCATTTTCTTTGAGAGCTCTCCTAAGAAATCATGTATATCACTTATTTTGGGGTGAGATGTATCGCCTACTAAGAACACATGCACTTGTCTTTTGATTTCAATCCAGCTCTTACCTGGCTTCTTTACTATTCCCTTATTGTCCATATCCTTTCTAACCTTGGCTACCTCAGTCCACATACCAGCATTAGCATAAATATTAGCTAGGGTGATATAGGTAGCTGGATTCTCTGGTTCTATCTCAAATAATGCTTTTGCTGCTCTTTCAGCTATTTCAAGGTTCCCATGTATTCTACATCCCCCAAGTAAGGATGCCCAGAGAAATTTATCAGGCTTCATGGGCATGCTATCAATAATATTCTCTACTTCATTGAATCGTCCAGATCGTGCCAATAAATCAATAACACATGCATAATGATCTGCAGTATGCTCCAATCCATGTTTCTCCTTCACTGAATGGAAATACTCCAATCCTTTATCTACTAATCCAGCATGAGTGCATGCAGAAAGAACCCCAACAAAGGTAATTCCGTCAGGCTTTCTACCTGATTGAAGTAGCATTTCAAAATAATGAAGAGCCATGTCGGGTTGACCATTCTGAGCATACCCAACAATTAGAGAAGTCCATGACACCAAATCTCGGTAAGGCATCTGGTTAAACACCCTTCTTGCAATTTCAGTGTTCCCACACTTAGAGTACACATGGACAAGAGCACTCGCAGCAAACGAACACGGGTCGTACCCTACCCTTGTCATGTATCCGTGAACCTCCTTTCCCACACGTTCCGCAGCAAGATCGGCACATGCATTTAAAACACCAGCAAACGTATACTCATTTGGTCTAACAGCTGAGCCCATCAAATCTCTAAACAAGGAAAATCCCTCTTTCTTTCTTCCATCTTCAAAGCATCTATGAATCATGGTAGTCCATGAAACAACATCTCTATCAGCCATCTGATAAAAAATACCCCTAGCTTCATCTAAGCTCCCACACTTACCATACAAGTCCAAAAGTGCAGTCCAAACCACCTCATCCAAGTTCAACTCAGTCCTTATCAAGTAACCATGAATTTCCTTCCCAAGACGCAAACTCGGTATAGCAGCTGCTGCTGCCAAAGCACTAGACAAGGTAAACATATTAGAGTTAGAACTCTCATTCACCTGCATTATTCTAAACAAATCCAGAGCTTCCCTGTGTCGATCACAGCTAACATAACCAGAAATAACAGCATTCCAAGAGAAGTTATCTCTTTGAGGCATTTTATCAAACAGTTTCCTAGCTTGTTCAAGACGACCAATATTAGCATAACCTGATATCATGGTATTCCAAGAACACAAATCCTTTTGTGGCATTTGATCAAACACCGTCTGGGCATCAATGAGACTCCCACATTTGGAATACATATGAAGCAAACGATTGGAAATGACAATGCCAGGAATGAAGTTAGAAGCTTTGGTGTGGGCATGGACCCTCCTACCCAATTCAAGTGATCGATGGCGAACACAAGCAGCAATGAGAGTGGAGTAGATACGAGGAGAGGGTTGGTGAATGCGATGGAGGAAATCAACGGCTTCCTTGAGGCGCTTCTGCTGACACAAAACTTCAACGAGCTCTTCAAATTTGCGGTGTTCAGCATGGTGAGAGAGAGTGGGGTCTCCGGCATTGAGATTGAGATTTCCGGGAGACGCATGGCGGAATTTAGAAGAAGAGGAAAAGGCTCTCCGGAATGCCATTACTTGGGGAACCTGAGTTTTTTTCTTTCCGATTTTCTTTTGGACTTAGGAGTCGAGTAATGTCATTTTAATTAGAAAAATGCTATTCCTACACCATTTTCTACACCCAATACTTACACCGTATGCACTATTCACCGTATTTATACGGTGAACAGTGTTTTTTTATTAAAATAATATATTTTTTTAAAATATTAATTTTTTAAAAAAAAAATATTTATTTTTAAAATTTATTTTATAACACAAATATAAGATTGCGCATTAACCAACTTCACAGTTGCATTAACCACAAAAATCTACATTATTAACCAGTTATTTTACCTATAATTTATTAACCACTTTCACTACTTCATTAACCAATAAAATACACACTATTAACCATGTTCTGGGAAATTTGTTCAAGTATTTGTGAACAGTAATTGAGGTGTAGGGTGTAGAAATGGGTGTCAACATAGCAATCCTGTTTTAATTAGCCACAATTATACAGAGTTATATGAAATCATGGATTGTCTTCAACAATTTGGTATCATTATTATAATATTATAAGTAAATTTGATTTTTTTTTTCTAAATCTGATAATTAATTTATTTAGTTCATATATAAAATAGATACCGTCAAATGTGTCAAAAAAATATATATATCAAGTATTTGAGTTGATTAGAGCGTGTAGTTCATAAGGAAGTTTAAAATATTAGAACTTAAAATAACATGTTTTTTTTATTTATAAATATACACGTATTTAATGTATTAAAAATTGAAATAATTAATATTTTTATAAAATATTTATTTATGGATCTCGTTAACGAATTTCTCGGAATACCATTTATAAATTTAAAATGAAGAAAATGTTTTATAAAAAATTAATCATATCAAATTTTAATGTCTCAAGTGCATTTTTCAGCAAGACCCTTAAAATATAAGGGAGTTACATGAAAAATGAGTAAATAAATAAGACAATTTTGTCACCTTTACTACTATTTGAAAAGTTAAGAGAATCAATTTTAGACATGCATTTGCTAACCAAAGTTATTTGATAAATACCATGATATCGTCTTCTCAACATTCAATTGATTTTTATACAACATGTACCTTTTATTTCTTGTTAATTTTAACATAGTACTTCTGTCAGGGCTAATCCTGAGAAGCATCCAATGACCGAATGATACGTATAATCAAGTTAATTTTTAAATTTAACAGGTATATATAATAAAGAGGTCACCGGGGACAATAAGAGAACTCATGTATTGTCTTATGAGAATACTATGCAGGTGAACAACATATCTTAGAGAAAATACATAGACTATTTGTGGAATCATTGAATTCATTAACCATGACAAGTTTCATACCTATATCAATTAATCCTATAACGTATATGCCACAATCTAATGTAGCAATACTTTTCCAGTGGACTTGACTTAGAAAAGTTGTTAGTTATGTTGGTGAACTCACATGCGTCACAAATACATTTCACTAGTGTAATACACCGGTGATATTTAGAACTCGTACGATAAACAATATAGAGATGAGCCAAGAGCGAACGTAGGAAAATTCCCTTCTCAAGTTCTAATTTGACAAGGTTTCCAAAACCCCATATAATATATGGCATTCTCTACTTGCAGCTGAGTCTAGAGCTCTTAGTTAATATTTATTAAATCCTAACCTCAAATAATATAATTAAGAGGTACCTTGGAATTCAAATTAAAGCCACATATAGATCTATGCATATGAAACTATATCCTAATTGAATTGACAAATTGATGTCTCTTCATAAAGGTTGTAAAACTCCATACTTTTCTACCTTTTTGAAGGAAATAATGAGTCAATTATAGAGCACATTAAATGGTTTATTGTGTCGTGCACATTATTCTATGTGATGTGCAGGTAATTGTGAATTCAACTATCGTTATGATGATGACAAAAGAAGTAAGAAAAATCTTCATAAACATCGTCAAGAAAGATGTTGTGAATTACGACAAAATTCAATATCAATTTGTGAGGCAAACAACAATAACATTCACAACAAGTGGTGCGGTGAGTGTGAAGTAAAGAGATATTGTTGACAAGTGAGGACCATGGTTAGTAAATGAGAGATCGAGAAATTTTCCGGTAACAACGACTTCGGGTTGTGGAAAATTAAGATGCAAACAATTTTAATTCAAGAGAAGTGTATCGATGCTTTGAAGAGTGAAGCATTGATGCCTGCAGGGCTTACACAGGTACAGAAGACCGAGATGGTGGATAAGGACAAGAGTGCCATTATCTTGTGCCTCGGGGATAAAGTTATAAGAGAAGTCGCCAGGGAGCAAACTGCGGTTGCTATGTGGGCAAAACTTGAATCATTGTATATGATAAAGTCTTTAGCTCACAGGTTGTATCTGAAACAATAACTCTATTCATTTGAATGGTAGAGAACAAATCCATAGTTGAGCAACTCACAGAATTTCACAAGATTATCGATGATCTTAAGAATATTAAAGTGAATATTTATGATGAGGAAAAGGATTTTCTCCTGTTGAGTTCATTACCCATACCCTTTGAGCACTTTAAGGATGCCCTTCTTTATGGTAAGGAAGGTACTATTACTTTGGATGAAGTTCAGACGGCGGTGAAATCCAAAGAATTTTCAAAGTCAAAAGATTTGAAGATTGAAGATAATGGTGAAGGCTTAAATGTGTCAAGAGGAGGAGGTGAGTGTAAAGGGATGTCCAAATCAAAGAGGTCTGACAAGTCAAAGATAAAATGTTTTAATTGTTAGAAAATCGGTCACTTGAAAAGGGATTGTCCTGAAAGAAAGGTCAATGAAGATTCTGTTCAAGCTGTAGTTGCATTCGGTGAGAAAAGTTATGAGGATGCTGAAGCACTAGTAGTATCGAGTTTGGAAACTGAAGATAGTTGAGTCATTGACTTAGGTTGCTTTTATTACATGTGTCCAAGAATGAAATACTTTGAAACTTTGAAGATGGTGCAAGGTGGAGTAGTTCTCCTTGGTAATAATAAGGCATGCAGAGTTCATGGTATTGGTACGGTCAAATTTAAAATGTTTAATGATTATGAACTTCTTATTCACAATGTGAGGTATGTTCCAGAACTTAAGCGAAATTTTTCATCTATAAGTATGTTTGATGATCTAGATTATTGTACTAGAGTTGAACGTGGAGTGTTAAAGATTTCACGTGATGAATTGAGTATTGCTAAAGGGTCTAAAATATGTGGTCTATATATTTTAGAAGGTTTCAATGTTATTATTCATTCATCGTTAACTAGTGGAGGCTTTCATGACAAGGAAGAGCTATGAGATTTGAGTTTAAGGCGTTATGAATGCCTTGAGAAAGTTTCAGAGGAGTACAATGAATTTTTCAGAAATCAAGAGATAAAAATTCATGTTACCGCTGAGTTGTTATTGAGTTTTTGGGGAAGATCTGAGGTTAAAACAACTTACTTGGTTGGTAAAGAATTTCTTCAGAAGAAGAACAGTGAAAACCAAGGGAGAAACTATAACGGAGAAGACTTAGTTTAAGGCGGAGTTTACTACTATAGATACTAGCAGTAGTGAGGGAACGGTTACAGAGATCTCTGATTATCATTTGACTCATGATAAGGTAAGGAGGATTATTGTAGCATCTCAAAGGGACGATTATGCTAGCCTTGGATATTATGTTTTTAATGTGGCTGAAGGACTGCAAAATAAAAGAAGAAAAACCTTTAGGGAGACATTTGAAAATAGGTGGAGTCAAGGGTGGTTGAAAAATCATACTTGTATGCTTGTTAAATTATCTAAGCAGAAAAGGGTAATTGGGAACAAGTGGATGCAAGTTATGAGATCAAGATTTAAGGGTTGCTTGAATTTGATCAAAATTATTGATTAAAATTTCAACTTGGTAGAGAGCAACAATGTTGTTGATTGTTAAATTGGTATCAATACGGTTTAGAGTCAAGGTGAAGATTGTTGTAAATGTGCCTTAAAATCTTTGTTGATGAAGAGAAAGAAAACATATTATGGAGATTGCATTTACCGCGAAAATCATAAGTTTTAGAAAGTCTGACGAAAATCAGTCAGTGAATAGTATCGTCTGTACGGTGAATAGTGATATCCGTACGGATGAATAGTGACGTCCATACGATGAATAGTGTTTTTGAGTTTCAGGCTTTTTTCGATTCGGTCCATGAATGCATGTTATTTTGGGCTTTGTTTGTTAGATATTTGCTATTATAAATATGTATCTTTTATATGCTTGGTATGTGACAATCTTAGAATTTTCACCAACAAAGGAGACCAAGGGTTTAAAGGTATAACATAGGGTTTCAGCTATGCACAGAGAAAACCTTGGATTACACCTTGGGTTTGATTGATTCATATATTGAGAGTTGGAGAGGTAGAGAAACACTTAGGTAGAAAATGGGACTGTTCTTGGGCGCCTTCAGGGTTGTTCTTGGGAATCTGAAGGCGAATGCTATTTTTTTGTAACTCATTTGTAATCTCTTGTAACAACTTTTTGAGTATAGTGAATTGGAGAGCTGCTCTCTCCCCCAGAGTAGATCGTTTGATCAAACTGGGGAAACAAACCTTCGGTTTTTTCTTACCTTATTCTGTTATATTATCTCTGTACAGATTATTATTGCTTAAGACCATTTATCTTGGTTGCTATTGTTCTTGGCCTCACAAATTGATATTGAATTTTATTGTAATTCACAGCAAGATTCACAATAAGTGGTTGCTATTGTTCTTTACTTCACAAATTCATATTGAATTTTGTCGTAATTCACAACAAGATTCACAATAAGTGGTCTTAAGCAATAATAATCCATACACAAATAATATAATAGAATAAGGTAAGAAAAAACCGAAGGTTTGTTTACCTAGTTCGATTAAACGATCTACTTTAGGGGAGAGAACAACTCTCCAATTCATTATACTCAGAAAGTTGTTACAAGAGATTACAGATAAGTTACAAGAAAATAGCATCCGCCTTCAGGTTGCAAAGAACAACCCTGAAGGTGCCAAA